CACACACACACACACGCACACACACATATTCTAAGACAAAAAAGGACCCTGAGGACAAAGCAGGATGGAGGAGAGGGAGAGATAGAGGGGGAGAGAGAGGGCGGGATGGAGGCAGAGGGAGTGGGAAAGGAACTGGGGAGAGAAATAAGGACCCCTGTGAGTCATAATTATACCCTCTTATCCCGTCAGCTGTTGAGCGGCTGGGTCACTGGCCTGTGTTGTCAGGAGGAAGTCTGCTTTCTTTTTACTGAGTGGACAAAAGAAATGTTTGTCCTCCTGCCCTTAATGAATCGTGTTTGCATCCTGCTCGGATGTTTTGTGTCTGTGTCGAGCAAAGTGTGAGTTTTAAATGAGTTTGGGGTCATTTTTTTCCCCTCCTCTTTGCAGTCGTGCACGTTTCGGCCCACCTGGTGAACGTCATCAACTTCAGCTCGAGCTACTCCGATGACTTTCCTGCTCTCAACTTGGCTCGCTACCGAGGAGAGGTGAGGCTTCGCTGGGCCTCCAGTCACAGCTCGCACAATCAAACATGCACCATGTTTCACATGTCCTCCTACTGCTCTGTAGTTTGAAAGTTCGAAAGGTGAAGATGAGAGGATTGTAGCAGCGGTTAAACTGTTTGAAAGTTACTTGATAAGACTGCTAACTGAAGGCTTTAAGATGAACTCTTTTAAAGAATTGAATTAAAAGTCAACACCCTTGTCCTTTTCACAGTTTCCTGCCTTTTAAGCCAAGTGAAAATAATCAAACAGTTTTAAAATCCTGTTTTTATCACGGCTGAATGCTCTGATTAGTTCACCTTTACATGAAGCTACAGTTGCATTTCTCTGTCTCCTTCTCAGGACCCCAAACGGATCATTTTGACCACAAGTAAGGACCCCTGTCTCTCAAAGCTCCACTAATAGATCTTAAATATCTATGTTTTACTCTCTGATATCTGCATTTCTAATTATCCCCCACCTTTCGTGATGGCACGTCTCTTCTGTTCAGTTCCAGGAGTCACTGGAGTCCTGCTGGTTCTGATTCTCCTCCTAATGTTCATATCCTCCTCCCACTGCATTCGGTATGTTAAAGCACCCCTCCCCCCCACACCCCGTAATTGCCAGAGTTTACATTTTAAGAGGAGAGAACTCAGTTCAGCTCAGACTGGAGGCGTCTATCGTTAGGACTTTCAAAACAAAGGTAGAACATTCTGTGACAAGTTAAAATGTGTAAAAAGTCTTTTTACTTTTTGCCATTTGAACTTTTTGGAGCAACTTTCATAAATAGGAGCCATATTGAACTCTGACATCTATTTCTCTTAAAACCAAAGTGTTTTATTTTCTCTGTCCGACTCGTCATGTTGTGTCTGCCTCTTGCTGAGCTGACGCTCTAATCTTGTTCGATGATTGCGACGCTAGCAGAAGACATCACAGCTCTGTCATTAGTCAGGTCACAGAGGGTCAGCCACCGTGCGACCACGTGAGACTTCTGTGTGAGAGAGATTGTCTTCTTTCAGTTCCTGAATAGAGAATAAGAAGCTTTTCTGGACCGTTTTAAGGCTTTAAATGAGTGGCTGCAGGGTTGGGATGATTGCTGCTGCTGCAGACCATACTAATGAGTCATTGTGATAAAATCATGTCAGTTTCTTTCTGAACATGTGAACGTCTGAGATGGAAAACATCTGGAGTGCTGAACATCTCCAGGTTTCTTTTTTAATATTTAAAACAGTACAAAATATCAACACATGAGAGTGTATTTTTTGTGTAGCTTGAATTTTTTAGTGGATTATAGGAAGGAGTTCAGGTACATCTGATGCTTTGCTTGGTGCAGCTCTGTCAAGGTTGAGAAAACTGCAATAAGTCAACAAATCTTACAGCTGTGTTCATTATCTCCTTGTTTTCCATAATTACTGGTCTGGATGAGCCACAAAGAACAGTTCAGTTAATCCAGGACTAATTGTGTTTCTTGGTTTATACATCAACAGCACAGCCCTGAAAGGAGCAGCAGTGAGGCAGAGAACAGGTTTTTATAATGGTGATTGTTTGCAGTTTTTATGGTGGGTGGTTGTGGGGAATGACCTCTGTGACCTCTGCTGTCCTTTGAACCGAGAGTCTGTTGTAGTTCCGAACAAACTCCTCTTCCTTTTGTTGTTGTTTTTCTCGCTTGTTTCCCTGCTTCATGCTATAAAACCTTTTTTCCCCCACTTTAACAAACATTATTGCTTTTGATGATCTTGTTCTTTTGTTTTTCTCAGAGTGACTAACTATGAGATCTTCTGGTACACACACAACCTCTTCATTGTTTTCTACATCATCCTGATGGTGCACATGGTCGGGTAGGCAGAGTACATGAGTTTATATGTGTGTGTTTTTGCTTTTATCTCTGTACTTTATTTGAAACATCTTTGAACCCAATAGGTCAGAGCATTAAGACAATTAAATACTGAATGGGACACATAATAACTGACACTAAAAAAATGGCAAATGTATTTAATGATTATTTCCTTAAATCAGTAGAAGAATTAGCAAAAATCTTTAATCCCATAATTCCAACAGACAGTCCAGTTACTGATACAACTGTTCCTTTACTCTTAACAAGATCAGTATTTGTAAAACTCAACATATAATTAATCAACTGAAAACATCAAAAGCTAAAGACCTTTTTGGGATAGATACATAACTTATAAAGAGACACACTGTTTTGTTGAACCCTATAACTTACTTAATAAACTTATTTGCAAAAGGGCAGTTTCCTCACACAAAAGGACTCATATCTCTAATTCTGAAATCTGAAGATTCTGATTAAGTCAGTAAATATAGACCAATAACGATCTTACCAATAATATCCAAAGTGATTGAAAGAGCAATAGCTGAGCAGCTTACTAGTTATTTGGAAAAAAATCAGCTTCTTTGTCCAGTCCAGTTTGGGTTTCGTTCTGGTTATTCAACAGAATTGGCAACTTCTTACCTTACAGAAAATATTAAAAGATCTTTAGATGATGGCAGGGTGGTTGGTGCAGTATTCTTACATTTGAAAAAAGCCTTTGATATGGTGAATCATGACATGCTCGTACATAAACTTAAAGTAAATTTATTAAGTAAATAAAACTTTTCCCATTGGTTTAACTCTTACCTAAAAAATAGAGAGCAATGTGTTAAAGTTAATGGAATGAAATCTAGTCTTCAAAACTGCATGATGGGAGTTCCACAAGGCTCCATCTTGGGTCCGTTGCTTTTTTGTTTATACATTAATGATTTACCAGACATTTGTAAGTATGCCAAATGTCAGATGTATGCAGATGACGCTATCATATATGTATCTGCAAAGACTCTACAACAGGCAGCAGAGCTACTGAACACGGAGATGGTGGGAGTGTCTCAGTGGTTTAAGACTCACTGTCTGACTCTGAACTGCAACAAAACAGTCTCAATGTGTTTCACAATCCACCATGACATCTGTAGCAACTTTTCAATTGTGATTGATCAGAGGGAAATCCAAAAAGTGAACGAGTTAAAATATCCGGGTGTCATTTTAGACTCCCACCTTAACTTTGAGGCTCACATTTGGAAAATGTTTAAAACCATTAAGACAAACATAAACTGTTTTTGTCTTATAAGATCATGTCTATGTAGAAAAGCTGCTCAGTTCTACCTGCAAGCCATGATTCTGTCTCATTTCTCATACTGTATCTGTCTGGAGCCAAGAAACTCAATCTGCTTTAAAACCTGTGAGGCTGTTGTACAAACACTTACTGAAAGTTTTAGACCAAAAACCGTTGACATGGCACCACTGTAAACTACAGCAGAAATAAAGTTTATTAAGCTTTGACAGCTTTTTTTTTTTTTTTTACAGTTTTCTCTCTTAAAATTGACTTTTAAGTGTAGCAACGGTCTTGTCCCAGAGACAGTGTGCAGAATGATTTTAAAAGTCTGCAGCACTGGAGTTGCAACGAGAGGTGCAGTTAATGAAGACTGCAAACCTGCAAAATATAAAACATCATTTGGTCACTGTTTCTTCTTATTTAGAGGCCCTCATACTTGGAGCAGTTTACCATCAGCAATAAAAATGTTGACAGATATTAAAGTTTTTAATTCTCAGGTGAAACATTGGCTGAAACAAAAGCAAATATGTGAACACTGAAGGAAAACAGCTTAATTTGTTGGGTTGTTTAATTAGATATCTCTAATGCTTATCTTTTCATGTATTTCTTGTCACTAGTTATAGTCACTCAAGTGTGTGTGGGGGGGGAGTGAGTGAGTGAGTAAGAGAGAGAGAGGGGTCTGTTTTTATTTTATTTTTAGCTGTTTTTATTTTAAAAGTCCAACCAAGGACTGGGTTTGCAAATTAGCCTATGGCTAGAAAACCCTTGTACAAAGCAACGGTTGCTTGTTTTTTTATCATGTAACGTTTATTGTGCTATCCTTGATCGAATAAAGTGAAATGAAATACTTGTAAGGTACATGTTTATTGTCTATTTTCATTTATGTGACTCAGTATGATAGAAAAACATCAACCTAACAACATTTTAAACTGCTTTATTTATTTATTATTATTATTATTATTCAGTGGAGCTCTGAAGTATCAGACCAACATAGAGACCCACCCCCCCGGCTGTTTGAGAGCCAATCACAGCAGCCCGGAGCAGCAGGACGAAGATCTGGTCCAGGCTGAAGATGAGGGGAGCAGATGCAGAGAGGATGCTCACTTTGAGCCACATTCCCCTCAGGTCTTTGTCTTTTTGTGTGTTTGTGTTAAAGCACATGTGTTGGAGGAAGTTGGCTGTGTTTAATTGAGGTGTTGGGGAGGGGCTCTTTACATGAAGATCTGTGTTTGTGTGTGTGATTATGCATTGGTACATTAATGGTATTTCTCCATGCTCAAATGATGCTGTGAGCACTTAGTCTGCTAAAGGTAACAGAAAAAAACATTGTAATGGTATTTACTGTCTTTATGCATGTATAATACTAGAAATTTAACTCTAAAAATCATCCATAAAATGGGGGGGATAGTATTATACATGGGTTATTGCTAATTAGATATTTATGCTTTGTAAGCTCAAAAAATGATGAACGCATTATACTCGAGATTGTATTATACATGAATAAATACGGTATTTGTTATTCTCCTGATCATTCTCTTTAGTTGAAGCCACGTTGTGTTTTAATGAGGATCGAGTTAGCAGAATGGGAAAGACTCTAAGAATTAATAATACAAAAAGTTTTCTAAATCTTAAAAATATTAACACGTAAATATATTAGAATGATTATTGCTTTTGTAAAAGTGGCCTTGCTTATCTGGCACGCGAAAGGACAAAACCTCAAATGTGACACGTTTAGCACAGTTTAGTGTTTTCTGTCAACAAGGACACACACTCTTATACAGCGAGAATGTGTCCTTGTAGAAGTAAAATAAACCAATAAATGGAAGTTTTATGTCTTTTTGAAGTTAATAAATAATAATAATAATAATTGAAGTTGATGCTAATACACAGGTAGGAACATCAGCCAATCAGCTAGTGGCTGGAAGCAGGCAGTTTTCAGCTTGACGGGTGAAAAACATACCAACCTGCTAACCTGACAGTGTCTGTGTTTGTGGACAGACTTGGCTGTGGGTGTCCGGTCCACTCTGTCTCTACTGTGTGGAGCGTTTGTACCGCTACGTCCAGAGCAGTGACCCTGTTGACATAGTAACAGTGATCAGGCATCCCTGTAATGTTATTGAGCTGCGCATGCTGAAGAAGAACTTCAAAGCACAGCCGGGACAGGTACGTATTTTTTTAATCTCTTTTTTCTGTTTGTTTACCATTTTACTAAATATATATAAGTATCACTATCATAGGTTTTCTTTTTTTTCCATCTACTGTATATTTCCTTTTTTCTGTCATCCTGATGTCTCTCCATCACAGTTTTGTTTCCCTCCCCAGTATGTTGTTCTTAACTGTCCAGGTGTGTCTTCATTTGAGAACCACCCCTTCACGCTGACGAAGGTAAAACTAATTCACTCCTGACACAACAGGAGCCCACATACATGTCCTCATAGATGCACAAACACACACACACACACACACTTGTTTTCACAGGTACTTAATCCTTTTTTTCTCTGGGCAAAAAGAGCCAGCAGTTCATTTATTTTTAAAGCCCTGCCCCACTCTGAAGCTCTTTTGATTGACAGCTGAGTCATCAGGTTAGATTGTGTTTTAACTGTATTTATTGATATTTTAGATTTGGTTCAAATTGAATGAAATAAACAAAAAGAAAAGAAGTTCAAGAAATACCGCTCAGGGATGAACTCATTCACTCATTCACACTCACACGTGTACATGCACGCACGCACACACACACACACTGAAAGACTCAAAATGACTGTGTGCATACCTGGTGTGTTAGGTTGCTTTGAGGTTGAGGGCAAAGAATCACACTGACAGAGAGCAGACAGACCCCTGAGGCTAATAACGCTTTCTGCCAACAAAAAGTCTGTGTGTGTGTGTAGTTGTGTGTGTGTGTGCGTGTGTGTGTAGGGGCATTGTTAAATTTAATGAGAAGAGTTAGATCTCCACACTTCATGCATTTTCTGATTTGTGTGGGTTTGTGTGCACGTTTGATTCTCTTGAATTGAACTTTATGTGTGTATGCTCTCCTGTACTTTCCAGTGTCAGTGTGTGTGTGTGTGTGTGTGTGTGTGTGTGTGTGTGTGTGTGTGTGTGTGTGTGTGTGTGTGTGTGTGTGTG